TTAAATTAAAAATTTTAAATGTATTGATCATATCTACAAATTTATTCATAGTTTGAGAGACATATGACACTTTGTTATGTTCTATTCAAATCAACATATATAATACTTTTATGAATATTTGTCAATTTGAATTGATGAAACGAAACATCAAATAATTTTCAGATTTTATAAAAAATTTGTAAATTTATAAAATATTTATTAAAAAAATTTTAATTTAACAATTAGATTATTAAAATTTAATGTAAACCATGAGTTATATAGTGAAGTAAACCTATAAAAATTTACTCTTAGAGCAAGTAGATTTCTACTCATATAATATTATTTTATTTTTTAAAATAAGTCAACTTATTAGATGTATAAAACTTTTTAAAGGTCTAAACTTGACTTTTAATTAAAAATATTTTCTAAAAAACTTAAACTTGATCTTTTTAATAAATGGAACAAATTAGACCAAACCTTATACATGCTTGGTCATGAGCTCTTGATAAATAGCTTGACCTATTTTCATCTCTTCCCTCAAGAATAACTATACCTTAAAAAAATTATTACAAAAATCTCTTTGAGAAACATACTCTAAGATCGCAAATGTTGCCCCAAAAAAAAAAAAAAATAAAAAAAAAAAAAAAAAAGAGTAATGTTTGTTCGAGCTGAAAAATATATATATATATACGGGGAATGCTAATATACTCCCACTTATTTTTTAGTGAGAGTATGTTAGCAACCTACACCAAAATTTTAGGGAAAAATATCACTCATTTTTTTTATTTGATTAATTCGTACAAATGATATAATAGTAATTTAATTTAATTTTAAATAAAAATAAAATATTTTCTCTCTCTTATTAATTTTATTCTCTAAGTCATTTCTCTCTCCTATTAAATTTCTTCTCCAACTCATTTCTCTTTCCTATTAAATTCTTTCTCTAACTTATTTTTTTCTCTCCTATTAAATTCATTTTTTAAGACTTTAACTCATTTCTCTCTCATCTCTCATGATGTCTCCCTTCTCTCTCTGAACAAATAAAAATTAATAATAGAATAAATAAATGAATTGGAAAATGAAATTAATAAAAGAGAGAAAATATTTTATTTTCATTTAAAATTAAATTAAATTACTATAATATCCTTTGTACGAATTAACCAAATCAAAAGAAATGAGTGGTTTTTTTTTTCTTAAAATTTTGGTGTAGGTTGCTAACATACTCCCACTAAAAAATAGGTGGGAGTATATTAGCATTCCCCTATATATATATATATATATATATATATATATATATACCACCTAAATTGTGATAGAATTCACAACTTGTTTTTTTTTTTTTTTTGCCTCACATTCTTAAAGATGACTCACTTTGATCAATCCATGAAAATCAACAATTAAATTTATAAAGTGTTTTAGAAAATCTTTTCTCTTCAATTTTTGTTAGGGATGAAAATGTGAGTTAAATTTAGTGATTGAGCTTGCCAACTTGCTTATTTTTGTGGATTAAGCTGGACAAATAAACTCACTAACTCACTATTCTGTCAATTTAGTGGGTTCAACCTGCCAACTTTGTGGATTAACCTACCAACTCACTTTTTTAATTTTATATTTTTAAAAGATAAAATTGTAATAGATTCATGTTGGACCAATATTTTTATTTTATAGTTTAACTACTTTTTCTAGATACTTATTCTCATTATATATGAAATAGAAATATATTATTTTAGTCACATATTATTTTATTAGTATATTTTCATGTATAATAACTTTTTTTAATATAAATATATATTACTTTGACCCTTTGCATGAAAAAATATAATACCTCTAATCAATTTTACAAATAATTAATAAAATAATAGGTTAAAGTGATGATGTATATAGAAATATTCCAATTGAAATCTTTTTCAAAGGAAAATTAAGTTGGTTGAATGTGATTTAATTTGTCAACCCACTATTTTTAACCCACAAACTTGTTAAAGTGAATCAACTTATCAACCTACCGCTAAATGGAATGCAATACATTTTTCAACTCATATTTTTTAATAGGTTGACTCACTCCATCCCATTTTACATTAATTGACTCGTTTTGCCACTCCTAATTTTTGTAGCTCTCAAACTCACAATATTCTCTTGAAAATTAGAAAACGAATTACATACTATTCTATGAGAAAATTTTATTATTTAAAGATTTTCAGCTACAATTAAAAATTATTCTTTAGTTAGAATTGATTATTTTGTTAATTAAGAATCTAGAAATCAAGATGTGTAATTACAATCGATTATTTTGCTTCATTATCAATTATTTGCGTAAGAAAATTCTTATTGCCTAGAAAAAATTAATTATTTGCGAAAGAAAATTCTTCTCGCCTCGAAAAACTTGATTGTTACGTTCTGCAATTGATTATCTGAAGAGTTTTACTTTGTTCAGTTTAAAAATAGAAGAAAATAAAAATATCATAAAAATAGAAAACTACTTTTTTATATAATATTAATAAAACATATCTACTGAAAATATAAAAAAAAAAACTAAATGCAGCCTTGGATTCTTGCTCTTCTGGTAGCATTACGAAGAAAAGGCACTATAATGTTTCTGGTACTGCCTTTTTAAAGCTAAGCCTACCATGACATTTCTTCAGACTCTAATTAGTTTGTGAAAGACGAATCATGGATAATTCATAATTGGGTCAACTTTGTCATTTCATGATCTCCTCACCCTACTTTCCCTAAATAGAAGGCAACATAAAGTTGCTGCACTCAAAGAGCTTGTTAATTTTGCGTATGATTAAATCTTAACGTGATATTATAGCAGTAACTAATGCACGTCAAGAAAACCTCCACCATTAATATATTTCATCTTATTTAAGTTATATATTTTAATAATAATAATTAAAAAAAAGAAATCAGTTACAGACGTCTAAAAGTAGTCCTGTTATTACATATTCTTAATTGATACCGAGAACATGTGAAGAAAAACACGAGGTTGAACGCATTCAATCAGTTTCCCATGTGAGTTGAAGTAAAGAGATCGGAAATACCTTTCATAGAAACATTTTATTGAATGGACGGTCATTAGTAGTTTATTACTGTCAGAAACAATAAAATGTTAGACTACTCGATGATGTTATGTTATATATCCTCTTAAGTATTTTATGTTTAATAAGAAAAATATCAAGTATTATAAACACATTTCTATCACATACATAACATAAAATGTATTTATTTAGCAAGTTATAAAGATTGGAATTAATGTTATTGAAGTGTAAAGTCTAGAGGAATTTTGGTGTGGTGGCTGGAAAGCTGGATGCATAGGTGTCACTTGATAATGGCACCAAAATATATGACAAAAGGTTTAGGTGTAATTCCTGTGAATATAGCCCCCACGGCAACAAGTTAAGTGGGTCAAGTCAGGGTCAGACAGGCCTCACAGGTGGATTCACTAACACCCATGCACATACTCTCTCAGAGACCTGTCAGATGCAAAAAAACAATCCATAACAAATGCAACTATTTTGCCATGTGTGTAACTGTAAAACTAGAGAGGTATCTATTTTTGAACCTCAGTTTGGCAATAGAAATTTGCCAAGTATTAATTGCCAAAAAAAAAAGAAGAAGAAGAAGACTGAAGTTTGATATTGAAATGCGTATTTGGGTGAATGGGGTTGCAATGAGGAATTCGTAGTTGAAAGTAATAAATGGAGAAAAGCCGAAGAAGGGGCATTGCATGAAACACACAAACAAAAGCATTGGCGGGTCCACTATTAAACCTTTGGATCCATTCATTTAATGGGTCATTGGATCCAAATCAAAGCAGTGACTGGTCAAGCATTTGACCATCTGACCCTAATCCTGACCCATTTTTGACCCTCTGACTTTGCATTTATTCTTCTTTAGATTTAAAAAGACTTTGGAACTAACTTCTTGTTGGTTGGTCCGGTTGAATCGAAAAAGAGAGTGCTTCCTCCCAACGTCTCTCTCAATGCCTTTCAGATCTTGGTCTTGGTCTTCTTTCTGTAGGACCAGACTTACTATGCAGGCAAGCATCCCGTGATTATATGCAAGCTTGGATACAACTAATGAATGCTTATGTTCTGTTTTTTTTTTTTTTTTTTTTCCCTCTTCTATATGTCATTTAATCTCCCTTCCGGCTTTCACCGCATCACCCAAAACAACCATTTAGTTTCGTCACTGCAGTACAAAAACAGGTACGGTGCTTAACAAGTCAGAATTCGTGAAAACTTAATTGCCAATTCGCCAGCCAAACATAGTTAATATAAATATAATTTAATGATTTAATCTATTTATTGTCGGGCAAATACAGGTCTGATTACATGAATGGATATGACGCTGTAATGCTTTATGTATATACTCAAATTATAATGCCCAAACAAATGATTGAAGCGACTAATGAATAACTCTATTAACTTGACAGTTAATACGCAAGAGGCATAACCGAAAATATAGTATCTGAACTACTCTTAACATTTATAATGATCGACTTATGACCTCAATAAACAAAAAAAATGAATTAGCTATTGCAAAAATCATAATTTTGGAAGGAGGAAACCAAACATGCCAAAAAAATAAACTAGTAGAGGATACGGACACAGTGGTGGGGTATTTGTCAGACGACCAGAACATTGATGTTGCACTCATTCCTTAGCGTTGGCAGTTACATTACAGGTGTAGTACACGAGTGCCATCGCCTGTGAGTCACTCTGTCCCTGTCTACCATGAGCCAAGATTTACCAAGCATTCCCCGCCCCCCTCCGAAAAATAAAGCAAGGCAAAAGAGAAAGCCATATTTGAATAATTTATGAAAACAAAAAGATGAAAAAACAATTAGATGGTGAGGGTTACAACATGAATTTGAACACGTTACATGATATGCATATATAGGAATAGGAATAAATTTAAATGTAAATAGGAGCATTTTAATTTTTAACGTATAAATTTACATGGAAAAAAAACTTATAAATTTACATTATCAATGGATTACACTTAACTGTAAGTAGAAGCACTACGTAAAAACAGTGATGTTGCACATCTTTATTTATGGCTAATCGTAAAAATTCACAATGAATACAATTTAAACTAAATCATATTACACTTAAAAAAAATAGAGAAAGAAAGTTAAAAAAATTTGTTTTATACTTTAGTGCACCGATTTTCTTCCCTTGTACAAAGGAAAGTGAATCGCATATTGTAATTATAAAACAGGCAAGTAACAAATGGTCAGTAAGTGGCCTCTATCTGGGCTACTTGTCATCTTTTTGGGGTTTGCAAGGACTTCACTATGAGAGCTACCTTGTTGACAACCAAGCAGGGTCTTTCACATTTGATCAATCTTGTTGAGTATCGAGCAGGGTCTTTCCAAAGTTTGGTCTACAAAACAGATTACCGAGAAACCATCAATTTGATCAAACATGTAAATGTATATCTTCACGCTGATCAAGCGAGATCATAACAGATATCAGGTGTCTTGAAAACGGTAAATGGGAGTTGGATATATTGATTCATGTAATATGGTAAGCAAAACATGCTCACAAAAATCTTTCACAAGCAAACCTCTTATTTGAGTATATAGCTTAAATTTTGGGGGGCACCAACAGTTGGAGCTTAAGTTTGACTGCCAAAATTGATTAGCACCTTAATATATCAATCAATTGATATCCCAGACTAAATTCTACTAGAGTGATTGCAACAATGCACTGGGAAAGAGAAATAAATAAAATAAATAAGTTCCACTAGCAAGACCTGCTCCAAGAGTAAGGCAGTGATTGTAGTATATCCAAATCTATGTTATTAGAATGTGTGTGCGGGCCCCTATCCAAGAGTGACGGACAGTGTTAGTGATCTTAAATTGAGTGACCTATTTGTCCAAAATTGTCTTGATACAATGGAGTCGTGATGTTACTTATATACCCTTTAACTTGTTTCTAGCCCACCAATGTGAAACTTGTTCCCCCAAAACTCCCCCTCAAGACCAATTAGCTTGACCCAATTCTGACTTGTCTTCAATCCAACTTGGGTTATACTCTAGTTTGCATTTGGGCTTCGTAGGCCATAAGTCTTTCTTTCATTTATTATCTGAGTGGCATGTTTATCCAAAAATGTCTTGACACCATGGACTCATAATCTTCTTACTTATATACCTTTTAACTTGTCTCTAATTCAACAACACGAGGCTTGTTCTCTGACACTCCCCCTCAAGTTAACTTGACCCAATTGTGACTTGTCTTTAATCTCCAGATTCGGTTTATACTTTTGAGCTACAGAGGACATACGTCCTGCTTTCATTTATATCGTGGATTGTACTCTTTTTCTTTAGTTTTAGAGGCCTCGAGTCTTTTTTTAGCCTTATATTTGTACTCCTTTTTTAGAGGCCATACGTCTTTAGCCTATGTTTTGAAAAGTTGTCTAATTTATATTTCAAATTTTGGATTTGCATTAAGTTTTCTTGATATTAAATGGTATGAATAAATACAGTATTTCGACTCTGTTTGACGCAGCCTGTGTCATTTTCCATAGTTGAGGATGTTTGGCTTTAGCCATTATGTTACAAAATAATCCAACCAAAGTGTGAAGGGTTCCAGCGTCACTGTTAATAATAAATGCATGCCCACATGCCAAAAAAAGAAAAGTATCTAGCTCCAGATAAAGTATTAAAACCTATGTAGAGAATTCACCTGTCAAACTAAAATCTGACAAGAATTTTAACCTGATATTTTACTTCAACTCATTTTCAGATAGTTTTTGCCTCAGGTTCTTCAGAGCATCCACAACTTCTGCATCAAGATTGTGCTTCAATAATCTACCTTGAAAAGAAGTGGGTCTGCATATAATAACATGAATAAGCAAACCAATCAGCAAGTTGTTTCATTGTGATAGCACAGTTTGTTTCTCTTAACACCAACATAAGTTGCACAATAGACAAACTGATTCAATTGAATTGTAAAAAAGTCATGCACTGTTTTCACAATGCAAAATAACCAAATCATAGAGGTCCCTCTTCATTTTTCTCTTTAATGGAAGTTTTGTTTTTATTTGGAGGGAAGGGATAGAGGTTTAGGATACTGGTGGTGCCTGTGATTGCATGAACTTATTCTTACAAAGTCCGGTCAAATAATGTTTTATTTTCCTTCTCATTGTGGTTCAATTTTTTTGCAGGAAGCCCATCAAGAATTAAAATGCAAGCATATATAAAAGCTGGATATCAGACGTGCATTAAGGAGATTTATGTATTCAACAAAAGATCACAACAGATTATACTGGTTTAGAAATTGGCAGTGCATTAATATCACATCTCAAGTTGCACAGTATCCATACACTAACCCATAAACCATACCTAGAAAAAAATCATAAAAGACATAACCAAACCATGTCTTAGACAAAAAATAAATATTTCTGAAAATTATTGCAGTCAGGGAACACCTTTGCTCTTGAAGCATCCTTTCAACCTCCTTCTGTGATGCCTTGATCTACTACCCAAACAATTAAATTAATAAAAGCACTACGTAAAATATCATTTTCAGGGCATAAAAATCAAGCATGTCAAAACAATTAAGAATTAGGACTTAATTGCATGTCTATGTAATTTTAAATGATGTAAACTATCAAATCTAATATTCCATCAGAAAACCTGGGATTTTAAATGTGCAAAGTAAACCAGACTATTTAAGAAAGAAATTTTATGAAAGGATAACAAACAAAACCATCCTGCCTCAAATTAATGTTTTACCTCCGTAACCAATGCCTTGCAACTCCAAATAAAGGCTCCCTGAAAATCAGCAGTATAAATATTTTGCACCAATAAACAGAGCACAATGCAGACACAGTTACTTGATATTCAGGTGATGGTATTTATCAGCATTTAAAGAATCATGAAAAGGAAATCATGATAAGATCAGATAATTACTTTTATTTATGCAGAAATTAATGGTTTACAGATTTTGATAAGGAGAGTAAAATACTCATAGCTGGAAAAGAATTGTGAAGACAATTGACAATCAAGTTGCATCCATATCACTCAAGTTTTCAATTTATAGGAAGGAAGCATACAGCTCCATGTGCTGCTTGCTGATGACAGTGATCAGAAGTGACTACCCACACTTTGGGGCAACCATCCTCTTTTAAAGCTGCAACCTAAAATGAGCAAAGATTACTACTGTTAAAGGAAGGTCTTTCTTTAAAACATTTTAAAGTTAAATGCTGACATCATTGCAATTCAAGGACCACGTGCATAAAATAATATCATTTTACATTGTGCAACTTTAGATACTAATACTTTAATCACTATTTGAATTTCACATTTAAAAGCAAGGCAACCTGGAGATTCTAGTACTTACGGAAACAGGATCAAGAGAAAACTTGAAAAACAAAATCCAACCACAACAATCAGAGATCCTAGATGTCATTTGGAAGAGCTTATATGGGTTTATAGAAGAGGCTTGTGACCCTCTTATAAGTTCCTTTCAGCTTCACGAAAAAATTTATAAAATAAATTACTCTCAGATTATTCCAGTATGCTTCACATTCAAGCTTTTGAATAAATTCTCATTTAATAGAAGTTTACTGAATAAGGCCCTATTTAGAAAAAATTTCTCAATAAGTTTCTTTCATAAGTATTTCAACTTTTATAGAAGCTCTCTTATCTAACTTCTCTAAAAGCTAAGGTGTATAAATCGATTTTAACTTATGGAAGTTTGATTCATTTTACTTGTTTTCTTCTCTTACAAGTACTTATTAAGAAGTTTATCCGCATTGAACCAAAGTAATGAATTAAGTTGTTTACTCAAACACACCCATAGTATGTCAAAAAGATAATAAAATTCATATTCCTAAATCGTGTAACAAAAGAAGGAAACTCTAAAAGTCCATGAAAATTGATCATAGAAAAATTGCAGCTAGGAACTAAAGCAATCTGCAGTAATATCTAACCTCTTTCTCAATCCATGTATCAGCACACGTTTCACCTGAGAAAATGATATCAAGACTGCAAAATGTCCAAAACTACAACATTATAACTTGGAAGAACTTAAAAAAAGTAAAATTATATGTCACAAGACAAATATTTTGTTACAACAATCAAAGGCAAATGATAGTTATAGAAACGATATCTTTACACCTATATCAATCATTAATTGGAATTTCCCTATTAGGCTTGCTTATTTAATCATTTTGTAGCATGCAATAATTAACCTAGCTAGAAGAGTGATAGGATTCTTGATTCTATGAGTGACTACAGGTGGTGGTGCATGGCTGTATTTAGTTAGCAGGGCTATTTTCCTAGTTGATTCTGTTAATGAACAAGACCTCAGTTTGATAAATAGATATGCAGAGGTAACTCTCCATGGCTAGTTTCTTAGAAGGATTACAGTTACTAAGGCCCTAGAAGTTTGAAGCAATATCAGATTTGTGATGAACCTGAAGAAAAATCATTATTGATTCTCCTCAAGCAGTGAAACCTATGAATTTGTTTGACACTTTGACTACCCATGGTTGGTTTCAGGTGCTTAATACGACACCTCCCTTGTGTTAGGAGGTTCTACCCAGTGGGATATATTCTTAGCCAAACACAAACCTGGGTGCTGAATGTGCCAAGGAACTCAAAGTTGGTCACTATAAACCCAAAGGCGGTGTTCATGCACATGACACTGATCAGATGATATGAAATGAAATGAATTTTGGCAAAAGATATACATGGCCAATTTTGATAGCAAAATCAAATGCAAGCTTCTTGAAAAATACTATTAAGGTCAACAGCAATGGCCTTTCCCAATTACATTGTATGATTAAAAAAAAAAAAAAAAAAGGAGTACCCAGCGAAATCTTCCTTGTGAGTAGGGAGTCCAGACATCATTGCGTCAAACACAACAACCACTTTGACCTCTGTAAAATTGAAAAGAAAGAAAAAAATGAGTAGCATGCGGAGATTGAAAAATGAAAAATGAAAAATGATAGAAACCTCTAAGCATGCTAAAGGTAAGAAGCTCATCAATTAGCTTCTGTCGAGCAATATCAAGTCTTCCATTCATAAAATGTTTCTTGAGCTTCATCCAATAGCCACAGACATTATAGCCATCCACAAGCAATACAGGGACCGCATTATCTATACCCTGCTGGTTGGTACTGTAGAAGATAGATTTTAGCGAAAGAAGCATGAAAAAAGTGTTGGTGTGAATAGAGTAATTGACTTACTAGTAGAGAGCGGTGGTAGGATCCCGATAGAGGTCGTCTGTGTCTACAACATCCTCCTTCTCGACCTTCTTCTTGCGGTAACTGGTTGCAGGCCTAGGAGTGCTAGAATTTCTATTCTGGAAGCTCTATTTCACGTAATCATCGAAATGAGTAAAGGAGGTTAATTATTAGTTATTAGTAGAAGCAAATTGAGTTACCTTCCATAGCTTTAGGAATCGGAGGTTTTGCTTGACGTTTGATGTGATTCTTGGAGGAGTGCATTGAGAACCCTAGTGATAATGAAATATGAATGAAAAAGCCATTATTATTATTATTATTATTAATGAGAGTAGTAGAAGAAGAAAGGTACCTGAGGCTGAGTGTCATGGTGCTGCTTCTTGCTTTTGGCGAGTACCACCGTAGTGAGTCCCGGTGTCAGCACTAACGATGGTGGAACCGTTTTCAATTTCATATTATTCACCTTCGCCGGTTATCACTCCTCGTCTTTCTTTCTCCATTCATTTTCAACGTTTCTGCTTCCCTACTAGCTAACTGTAACAAACTAGCCACCAAAAATACAAATTAAATTAAATAATTAAATATTACATTACATGTTCCTTTTTCTCATTCTGTGGTTTAGCGGGGCTCTCATCCCACCAACCATTGAATTCCAAAGGGCCCGTTAGTTCTGGGCATTACACCCAAAGGGGCTTGCTATTCACACTCCACAAATTACTATTCAAACCTCTTTTCCTTTTTTTCACAAAAATATCCCTAAAGTTTGACACTCCCAAGTTATAAGAAAATTTTTAATTTTTAAATACATAATATTTATGTTAAAATCAAATATATTGTAGTGGTCGTTTCCCGCAGCAAAAGATGGTTGTAGGAGTGTCCAAACATGTCTAATAATGCCGAGTCCCACCTTTTGCTTCGTGGGCCTTCATTCACATTATTGCTCTGTGGAGTGTGGATGGATACCGAAATCGAATAGTCTCATGTGTAGGTACTACGCAACAACTTACAAGGCTCCAAACTCATGTTCTATGTTATGTGAACTACAGCATTGTGCAACATAAATAATGTAGTTGCGGAGGCAGAATTCAAAGATAGTGATATAGGAGTATTACACTTGACCATCGCTCTGTTTCCCTTGTCAAATGAGAGGCTGAGTTCAACTCCCCATGGCGTAGGTCTTTGTGATTTTTATGGCAATTAAGGCTTATTAGTATTCCAGAAAGAGAGGACTATCCCATCCATCATATCATCCTCCACTTCTTTCTTAAATGAATTGTAAATCTTGTTCACATCACCATCAATCTTTTAATTAAGATTCATCTTCTTATCACAATTTATATAATCACAATAATAATTAACTTGAAACAAGTGATAGTATTATCTTTTGGGGACTTTTTCTCGTCATGAGTAAATCTCTCATAATTTAACATGTCATTCTCAAAAATAATTGAAATAACAAAACAAGTAATTTTTTTTGTGAGAATATCCAAAAAATTCAAAAGGAAAAAAATGGTTTAGAATGTGTAGAAAGTACTATTAGATTATTTCGACAATTATAGTTAATGTTATTATTTTCCTCTAAAACTCATATTAATTATATGTTAAAATATTATAACATATTATTGTTATTAGTCCCAATTTTGTGATTATTATATTAATATTTTGTAAGCATTATGTTAACATTATTATTATAAAATAATGATTGATAATGTGTTGATGTAATTGACCTTGTGTGAGCTTAGTATAATGAGTAAATAAGTTTATATTGATTTAATATGGAGAGATACCTATTTCTAACCATCGCATAATATAGTTATCCCATTGAGATTTTACAGAGTAAAAAACACAATGAAATATAAATAGTTTCTCTCTTTTATTTTCTTTGATCTATCACAAGAACTAAATGGATTAAATACCTTTTGTCTATTTAGGTATTTTTAGCTTTATTATTTTTTGTTTTATATATGTTATATTTAAGGATTAAAATACGTATGAATATATGAATTATTTATTGTTGATGTACTTATTTTGTACATTTTTTATATGATAGATTATATATAACAAGTACTTTATAAAATCTCATGAAATATTGTATTTATCAAGAAAAAAATCATCTAAGTCTATAACAATTGGTCGATATGTAAAACCAATTTTTAAAAAATCAAGTAATAAAGATAAAAAAAACTTAATTAATAATACTATTTCTAAGTAAAAATGATTTTAATAAATCACTAAAATTATTTTAGAAAACTTAATAATAAATATATTAATCATTTTGAAATATTAATGTGGTGACTGTAATTAAGTATCCATTGGGGGGAAGTAAGCGTGATTTGCGTAGCTTTTACATGATGCGTCATTTTCTCACATATTTATGATCTTCACCTTCTGGGCTAAAAAAATTGAATCCAGGGGCAAAAAATAATTATTGAAAAATGTGGTACACGTTTGGGTTTGAAGCATGAAAAGCAAAAGGCGTGATCCTCTTTTTAGTATTGTCTTTAAGTGGATCATGTTGATGAGAGTCATAGTTAGCCACATCCTGATAGGAATAATTAAACTTGATATTCAAAATTCTTCCCCCCTTCCCCCTCTGTTATCTCCTTTTTTTTGTTGATATATAGGCAATGATTGGTTTGGAGAAAACAAGTCCGATGATCTGCTTTGTAATAAAAGCTCTTGGCATTTTAAGACAAGATCAGTTGGCAATGTGTGTCATCTTGGAAACAGGACAACCTGGATATATAAATCAATACAAAATCAGATAGTAATTTATCTAATTAATTAACCAACTTGGATGGATGGTAGCACACTATTTTCAATTTTCAATTTTCAATTTACAGTTGTCACATGTTACATAAAATTCTGTTCCATTTTAAAATTTATTCGTGTACTTTTGGAATATAGTATACTAGTATGCTACTTCTCCTATCAAGAACTGTAGGGAAACGAA